AGGGAGGAGGCTGGGCCTGGACCCTGGGTCTGAGGGAGGAGGCTGGGCCTGGACCCTGGGTCTGAGGGAGGAGGCTGGGCCTGGACCCTGGGTCTGAGGGAGGAGGCTGGGCCTGGACCCCTGAGTCTGAGGGGAGAAGCTGGGTCTGGACCCTAGGGGTCTTGACTGGAGGGTTACTGTCACTTCCCAGTGTGGACGGTGTCCATCCTTATGAAAGGACTGCAGAGAGGAGTTGCTGCTGCAAGGTGAGGTCAAGTGACAGGTCACAAATGTCCTCTGCCCCCACACCCTCCCTGCCACCCTATGGCCTGAGGGTGAAAGATGAACCAGATAACTTGAGACGCCCCCACCTAGTTTCCAAAGCAAACAGACTTGGGCCCTGGGGGTGGATGAGCAGCCTCAGCCTCCTAAGAGCAAACAGGTGGTTTGAGCCCCCAGAGGCAGAATGGGTGGGGCTCACAGAGGGCCTGGGAGCCAGCCTGCAGGACAGTGGATCCCCTTGCCCTGCACAGCTGCAGAGCAGCTCCTACAGCCCACCTCCTCCCCAGACCCACGGTGGGCCCAGCCTCCTCCCTCAGACCCAGGGTCCAGGCCCAGCCTCCTCCCTCAGACCCAGGGTCCAGGCCCAGCCTCCTCCCTCAGACCCAGGGTCCAGGCCCAGCTTCCTCCCTCAGACCCAGGGTCCAGGCCCAGCCTCCTCCCTCAGACCCAGGGGTCCAGGCCCAGCCTCCTCCCTCAGACCCAGGGTCCAGGGTCCAGGGTCCAGGGTCCAGGGTCCAGGCCCAGCCCACTCCTCTTCTGGGACCTTATACAAGTCACACAAATAGTGACCCTCAAATCTAGCCTCCAGCTCTCATTCGCTCTGCAGCCTCAAGGTGCAGCCTGTGCTCTGCTGAGGGCCACAGGACTTTGGCCACAGACTCCCTTCCTGTTCAGGTGCTGCCCCCCTAGGCCATTTAACCTTGCCTCCCCCTGACCTGGGTTCAGAGCCCATGGACCTCACCTTCTCCGAGGTTTGCCAGACCCTTCCGTAGCCTGCAGTGGTGAGTGCCCAGTACTTAGAGCCCATGCCAGCAGCTGCCTGCACAGGGAGCAGGATCCGCCCCCAACTTGGGGGTCGCAAGGCCCCACCCCCAGCCCCGCCCCTTCTGCACCCATTGGGCCAGAGCGACATCGTGCGTTGAATCCCAGAACTGGCTGTGGTCAGACAAAAGTCAGACCCATGGGGCTCAGTGGGTTCCTCTGACCCAAGTTTCCAGGCCCCATCTACCTCCCTAAACTCAGGAGTCCAGGCCCAGCCTCCTCCCTCAGACCCAGGGTCCAG